AGTAGTAGATATAATGGTCATCTGAGTTAAATTCAACTTCTCCAAGTCAGGCTTCAGCAATACCTGAACTGTGAACTTCCAGATGTTCAACCTAGATTTAGAAAAGGCAGAGGAACCAAAGGTCAAATTGCCAACATCCATTGGATTATAGAAAAAGAAAGAGAGTTCCAGAAAAACATCTATTTCTACTTTATTGATTATTCCAGAGCCTTTGACTGTGTGGATCACAATTAACTGTGGAAAATTCTTCAAGAGATGGGAATACCAGACCACTTGACCTGCCTACTGAGCAATCTGTGTGACGGTCAAGAAGCAAGAGTTAGAACCAGACATGAAACAACAGACTGGTTCCAAATAGGGAAATGCGTCCGTCAAGGCTGTATATTGTCACCCTGCATATTTAACTTCTATGCAGAGTACATCATGCAAAATGCCAGGCTGGATGAGGCACAAGCTAGAATCAAGATTGCTGGGAGAAATATCAGTAACCTCAGATATGCAGATGACCCCACCCTTATGGCAGAAAGTGAAGAAGAAGAAATAAAGAACCTCTTGACGAAAGTGAAAGAGGAAAGTGAAAAAGCTAGCTTAAAGCACATTCAAAAACTGAAGATCATGGCATCCAGTCCCATCACTTCATGGCAAATAAATGGGGAAACTGGAAACAGTGACAGACTTTATTTTTGGGGGTTCCAAAATCACTGCAGATGGGGACTGCAGCCATGAAATTAAAAGACACTTACTCCTTGGAAGAAAAGCTATGATTCACCTAGACAGCACATTAAAAAGCAGAGACATTACCTTGACAGCAAAGGTCCATCTAGCCAAATCTATGGTTTTTCCAGTAGTCATGTGTGGATGTGAGAGTAGGGCCATAAAGAAAGCTGAGTGCCGAAGATCTGATGTTTTTGAACTGTGGTGTTGGAGAAGACTCTTGAGAGTCCCTTAGGCTGCAAGGAGATCCAACCAGTCAATCCTACAGGAAATCTGTCCTGAATGTTCATGGGAAGGATTTATGCTTAAGCTGAAACTCCAATACCTTGACCACCTGATGCAAAGAACTGACTCATTAGAAAAGACCCTGATCCTGGGAAAGATGGAAGGCAGGAGGAGAAGGAGACAACAGAGGATGAGATGGTTGGATGGCATCACTGACTCAATGGACATGGGTTTAAGCAAGCTCCGGGAATTGGTGATGGACAGGGAGGCCTGGCATGCTGCAGTCCATGGGGGTTGTACAGAGTTGGACATGACAGTGTGAATGACGTAAGCTGAATCTATCTGGCTTTAAAATTATTTGCTATAATTTATTTAGGAATATTACTGATGTGACTTTTAAGTAGTACCAGAAAGCAGGAACTGAGGAATGAGAAGAGGGAAATAAGTCTTAGGAACTGTATAGCTTAAAAAAACAAAAAACAAAAAAATGGAGGTACATGAGTTAAGGTGAACAAAGTGATGCATCAAAAAATAACATCTAAAAGCTTTCATCTATTAAACCAAAACATGCATACATTTCTCTTTCATTTACTCAGGACAAAGATATGATGTGCTTTCAATTTTGCTTACACATTTCAAAATATATTCTAGGATAAAGGATAATCATAAGTGGCTCTATTTCTTATTTGTATTAAAATAATTTTCCTTTGTATTAGCAGTCGTTATATTTCCACACGACACGGGAAGTTGATTTTCACTTTGTACCTGGCAACACTGATAAATGCTGCTTGAGCCATTTGCCAGTGGGAGGTACCTTAAGTAGAAGGTATCTGTGACAAAGCAGCAGCATCAGCAGAAGATTAATGCTGAAGCTGTGGAACAAGAGAGATATGAGGCCAGAACCCTGGAGGAGCCCTGGGCAGGCAGCAGCGTGTTGGACCATAAAGTGAACACAACTGCAGAGGGGTAAGAATAAACGCCTAAGTGTCAGGAAACAGTTACGAAGCTAGATAAGTCATCAAAGTTAATGTGAAAGATAACGTCGTGAGCCTCTGTGAAGATAAATATTTAAGCTTTATCTATGTAGTCTATGCAGGTGGAGAAACGATGAGCTATGAAACAGAAAGTATGCTGTTAGCATCTGAGTTGGGTAAGTCACTTTCCAATGAGTGCTGTAATAAACTATGACAGACTGAGTGGCTTCGAAAAACACGCATTTATTGTCTTACGATTCAGGAGATCACACATCTGACAAGGGGTTCCCGGGTGAAAACCAAGGTGATAGGAAAGCTCTGTTTCTTTCTTGAGGCTCTCAGGGAATATCTGTTTTGTTGCCTTTTCCAGTTTGGGGGCATTACCTGCATTTTGAGGGCTCATCTCCTTTGGTTCTACCTGCAAAGTCAGGAGTTTAGCATCTTCAAGTTTTCTTCTGTCCATACTCTTCTTATCCACTGCCCTCTTTCACTTAAAAAGACCCTTGCAATGACAATGAGCCCACACAGATAATGTAGAATAATTTCCTTATTTTAAAGTCAGCCGATGAGCAACCTGCTTCCATCTGCAACCATAAATCAGCCCCTGCCTTGTAACAGATCATATGTCCAGGTTCCAGAGATTCAGACATGGACATCTTTGAAGGATCATTATTCTATTTACCACAATGGGTTTGAAACTGGAAATTACAATCTGACACCCATACTTAATCCATCTCGAATTTTATGGTTATGTTGCAAGAAGGGGGACCCCTTCCAGAAACCCGAGAGTGGGCTCCTAGGTCTAACTCTCAAAAATGAATTGTCCGAGGAGACATACTTGCTGATAAATCAAGACTTTACTGGGAAGGGGCCCCAGGCAGAGAGCAGGAGAGTAAGGGAACGCAGGAGGACTGCTCCGCCACGTGGCTGGCAGTC